AACGGTAGTCGCCTTATACAATTGTACGATACAATTAGCGATAGTAGCATTTTTCAAATAATACTTTTCTAACAACTAATTCACCAACTAGAATATACAAATTACAGCTTGACTAACGTCCTTACAGAAAAAGAGTATTTCAGAGAAGTTTTTGTTCAATGAAGGATAAAAGAAAGAAATATTCAAACAAAATTTATTCATACAAATGTCACATATACAGTCAATATGCGCAGGCTAGAAAAGGCTGATGGAATCTTCTCGGCAAATTGAGCTGCAACAGAATAGCGAAGATTTTTTTAATTCATAGGGATTTAAACAAAAAATCATTATTTAAAAAATGCCGTCATATTGAATAGTAGAATAGTAACGGCATTGTAACTTTCATTACTGTTTCGCCCCCCAACACATCTGTTTAATAAAACTCGACTATTTAACCCTTTGCACTCCAAGCATTTTTTGATAAGATTAGGTAGCAATTTTAGTGTACTTTTGCAGTGAAACTTTTGAAAATATAAAGATTTGCTAAGAAAGAAAAGATTTCTAATATTAAAAAACTTGAATTTTACATTTCTAAGTTCTCCAGAGTAATGAAGCATGTCGTTCGAGTTCGTAATTAGCTTCAGCGCAACTATTAGAACCTTTTGGACAAAACATATGTTGCGAAGAAATCGGAATCCTTGTTCCTCCTAATTGCTAGTCCGTCGTAAGATGACCTTTTCTTGCCTGAGTAAAACATATCTTAGAATAACTTGAAACATATCTTAGGATAACTTGAAACATATCTTAGAATAACTTGAAACATATCTTACAAGACACTTAAAACTATCAATTTATGAAAACTCAGAAGAGCCCTTAATTGTGCGTGTCTATCATAATTACAAGTGAAATCCAGCAGAAGAATATGTCCTTTGCAGATGCCAGCCTCCAAAGTTTGTTCCAGTTAAGATTGTATATTTCCTAAAATAAATGTACCACAAAAAGATTAATACTGTTGATTTCAACTATGTTGCACTTATCGCTAATACTAATTCAACGTTCACTCTTACACGCTTATCCCAATTCCAAATGCAGAGTATTCCAACAATAAAAAACACACACATTGAGTTACACCTGGAATAGAAATATACGTACCATACGATTTTTACAATTCACCACCTTCTAACCTTTCTGCCAGTTGTTGCGAAATGTCGAAATTAATACCTTATATTAGTATAAAAGAATTTATAACAATTGTTTGGAGCTACTTACTTATTTCAAGTTCCTTTCGCTGGACTGTGAATCCAAAGGCGGCAAATGTGAATAAACTGTCCTTGATAATTATGACGTACGATTTCCTTGCATCTTTGGTACTGCGTTAAGTAAGAAAATTCAGTTTTACAGATTAAATCGAAAATTGTTATCGAATCTTTGAACCGTAAACTTACCGCCTAAACGAAATACATAACCTCGTCCGTACGTACAACGTCGTTCGC